AAGTCTGTCGGTAATTAGGGTACGGTACAATGTCAATTGTACCTTGTATTTTGACATTCGAAAATCCTGCTGAGTGCTGAGGTCACCTTTGTATAATTCTTCATGGAACGTAGCATTAATATTCTTCTTGGAACGTAGCACGCATGATTAATACATGCGTTCTTAGCCAACATATTGATTCCCGCATTTTCCACTTTGGGGAGTTTTTGTAATGTTACAACAATTAATTTTACACGTTAATTAATACTTAAAAGATACAAATATTCATACTCTTATATATCTTTACCTTAATTCACAGAGGCTCTAATCAACAAATTTTTTATTTTACAGGTAGGGCTTTTTAAAAAGTGGCATGTAACTCCGTTGTTTTTGGAACTAACACTCAGAGCTGGGTAAATGCAATTACATTACAATTACAATTACATTCCTCAGTAATTGTAATTAGGAATCAATTTCTTCAGTTCACAGCACAGGAATCGATTACTGTCTCAACTCCTTGAAGTAATTTCAAATGGAATTGTTTTTTTTTTTAATCCCGTTATAAGGAATTTCATATTGTAATTGGAATAAATTACGTGGTAGTAATGTAAAATGTAATTGATTTTTTTTTTATTCCATTCCTCAAAGTAATTTAAAAAGCAATCGAAAAATTTATATAAAAAAAATTACTGTTGAATTGCAATAGCTTGTTTAAATTCCTTGGTTGCTAACTGCCTTGAATAAATAACTTATACCTAAATAGTATTACTCATTGGACTTTAAGAAAGCTGAATAACTTAAACTGTAGCTGTTCAGTTTATAAGGTAACCGTTAAATTTTCCAGATCCTACCGCGAACGTGCTTCGCGGCAAATGAGACCCGTAAATGTCGAAGCAGGCATAACCCGCCGGAATACTTTCATGCTCGCCTTTTGCTGAAGAACAGTCCGGACTGTTGCTGCCTTGGGCACTGCCGTTCTCTTGGACTAATCCCTGCGTATCTATAAAAATATACTGACTTGTGTATATTATGGTACCCTTAATGCTACCTAAAATGGCGTGCCTTCTGGGGCCTTTGAAGTACTCTTACTGGTATCCTGCGTTACAAATGAGGATACAGTCCGCTTGAATTAAGAGCCTTGTCGGACTGGAGATCCTACCTCCTAAGAGTTTTATAAACAAATTGCATTGCTATGGCTAAATTTTGATGATAGCCCTGTAAGGACGCTAAAATTACACAAAAGAACGCCGACACGTAAAATTAATTTTGGATAGTACGGATCTGTATACCGTTTTTTTAGATAAGGTCATTTTGTCGTTATTTTCATTTTAAGTTTGCAATGCAAATGAAAAAAATTCAAACTTTAACATGGAAAAAGTTACTCATACGTAATGAGACCAACTACCTCATATCTCAAAGAAGTACAGCTTAGGTTAGGTTAAGTTAACGCCGCGAGCCGATTACGAAATTTTGAATGCGGCTAATTTCGATCCCTGAGCTGTTCAGAATTGCGAGCCAAAATGCTTCCATCTTAGCCTCGCGAAGGTTGGACAGTCTAAAAGAAAGCTCTAATGCAACTGTCCACATAGCCAAAATTCGACAACGCTCACGCCAACACAAAGCATAAAGATGGCCAACTCTCAACTTTTTAAGCCCCGAGAGCGAAAGCAGAGCCGACATTTTTAGAGATTTTGCGATATGGATCCCGATCCATCAATACTGCATGCTACACCGCAACAGCTGACGAGGCTCGCACACGAAAAGTTGAGAGTTGGCCATCTTTATGATTTGTGTTGGCGTGAGCGTTGTCGAATTTTGGCTATGTGGACAGCTGCATTAGATCTTAAATAGACGGCAGCGTTGATCCGGATCAACTCGGGAATTTACTACATTTGATCCGGATTAAGTCCGAGTTAATCCCGATCAACGCTGCCGTCTGTTTAAGCTTTTAGAACTCGTGTATTCATAGTCAGCTGTTGAAACGACGCCAACACCAACGCCAACGCAACGACAAAGCTCTATGTGGGCGGGCCTTGAGAAACATCAATGAAGAACAGAGCTAGGAAATTGAAATAAATTTTAGCTTAAAACTATACTTCAGCACCATTTCGATTTTCTTAATTTCAGTTAAATACGGCATAAAAATTCCGGGGACTCTTGCAAAACTTATGGAATTTCGATTGGAATTAGGCTTTATACAAGCAATACCATTAGCATATTTATAACATTTATTAGACCATACAACGTTTGCTTATCGTTAAAAACATTTAATTATAAAAATGCAATTTTATATCTAAACAGAAAATCGTTTAACGTATTTTAAGAATAAAAAACTTTCTATCACGTCCAGAATAAAATGGATATTGCCATGCCCACACACGCCACAGCAACATACGGCGACTTTCGTTCTCCTATACGCGCTAGTTTCCAAAACACTCCTAGCAACCTACGAATATGAAAATCTTAAGATAAAGCTTTAAATACGCATATAACTACAAGCAAAACTTACCCCGTCTTATTTCGGTCCATTATACTAGGGAAGAGGGAACGCAAATATGCACAAGTGCATATGAGCAGCAGGATCACTGATAACAAACTTTGAAAATTGAAAAGTGCACTCTGCAAGCAGCGAATAAGTTATGTATGCCGTTTATGTACTTAAATTGATAACTCAAGTTTTACTCACCATTTTAAATTTTTATGCCTCCATAAATTAATAATTTAATAATAGTCAAATAAAAACAATTATTCGTTGTAGAATGACGTGCCTACATCTGACATTTTGTTTTTTTGTTTAGCTACGAACGTCAAAATAAATGCAGAGGAAAGAAAGGGCCATTCACACTTGTTCCACTTCAGTGTTGGTAACCACATTTTTAGAGGGATGGATGTGCACCTTGCCTAATTTTTTATTTTTTCTTGTATTAGCTGCATTTTTTTGAGAGCGAGCGGCAAACGAACGCTCAATTCGGGTAAAATTTCCTTTTAGCTACCTAAGCAACTCTGTTAGTAGCTGGCTAGAGACTTCTGATTAGTTTAATGGGATTAAGATACAAAAACAATTTAAATTAGTAATTATGCGAGGTATTTGCGTAATATATGTATATACTTATTTAAAATATAAAACACGTATATAAGAAACAAAAATTTCCCTCTCTACTTTCCCATTATCAATTCAAAATAGAGCAGCTTTTTCACTTAACAACACTTTTGCTTTGCCTGTATTTCGGCATTTAAGCGATGGTTCTTTTGTAGCTCGGTTGCAAAAGAATGCACCTATTACATATATAATTTTTCAAATATAATCAAATTTTTCATATGAAGAAAAAACTCGTATGGTACCAAGCATTATCCAACTACACAAGATCTGACAAGATGAAGCAAAATAAAACCGCAATTTTCTGGCTGAGGCTTGTAATTTCGGTGCCATGTTATTTTCTTTGAAATTAATCAAAAGTAAACAATGAATATGAAGACGAAGCACACCGGCAGGTTCTGCAATTCACTTCCGAGTGAATTTGAGTCAAGTTGGCTTTGAATTCGAATGGACAGTGGTTGAACTTCACTCAGAAGTAAATTTCAGAACCTGCCCGATAAAGAAAAATATTAAAGCAATTTTTAAGCGCATTTTTGTGCTAACCATAATTACATTTGAACAAAAAATTTATAGAAAATCGCTTAAAAACCACCGCCAAAAACTGAAAATAAACCACCGCCAAAATGCACACAAAGTGAAATTGTAGTTTTAAGGGCAAAATTCCCTATATGTTTATATGTACATTCCAACAAAGCAACACTGTTTGTGAAATGACAACACGTGCATGAAAAAGTCAAAACATTAAATGCCGCTTTGATCTTCTCGCACTTATTTGTTTTTCATACAACAGACTTCTCAAATATCTGTTATAAACCCCATTTGGATAACATAAAAAATGCCGCAATTTAAACCGCTCAATACAAAGAAGTACATCAAGACCGGGAAGGTCGTAACACCGGATACTCTATACTGGAAGCAATTAAGTGTAAGTTTATCATCCCATATATAAAAATATGTAAACAATTGTGCATTTATGTATCATGGGATTTCGTTTTTGCAGGTACCTACTCTGGTAAAAGAATTCGGCGCCATTGACTATGTGGACTTCAGTCCGATAGAGCCTCATTATTTCGCTGTGACTTGCTCAGTGCGTGTGCAAATTTACAACCCTATCACAAAATTGGTGGTGAAAAATTTGTCCCGCTTTCAAGAAACTGCTTACGGAGGTACATTTCGACAGGATGGCCGTCTGCTTGTAGCTGGCGATGAGCAAGGCTTTCTCAAACTCTTCGATTCGTCCAGCAAAAATGTTTTGCGTCTTTTTAAGGGACACAAAGCGCCGGTACACCGCGCACAATTTACACAGGATCTACTGCATATAGCTAGTTTCTCGGATGATCGTACGGTTAAATTATGGGACATTGGGACTGAGAAAACTACGCTTACTTTTGCAGAGCATGAGGATTATGTGCGCGCTGGCGCGGTAAATCCCATGTCACCAGACACATTAATATCAGGTGGTTACGACGGTAAAATTAAGATGTATGACACACGTACACAAAACGTTTCGTTCAGTATTGATCATGGGAGCCCAGTTGAATCTTTGCTGTTTCTGCCAACGGGTGGTATATTTATCAGCGCAGGTGGTACAGAAATGCGTGTGTGGGATGCTTTCGCTGGATGTCGACTTTTAACGAAAGTATCACAACACCACAAAACCATTACAAGTCTACGTCTCGGTTCCAATGGGAAGCGTATACTTTCTGGGAGCTTGGATCGTCATGTCAAGATCTATGATGTCGCAACATACCAAACTGTGCACACGCTTGATTTCCCCAACGCCGTGCTGAGTCTTGGAGTTGCGCCGGGAGATCAAACTGTTGTGGCGGGTATGGTAGACGGGCTTATTTCAATACAAAATATGGAAATAGATCGCAATAAAGAAGCGAAACCAAAACGTAATGCTAACAAACAGCGCCGGCTGACTTCGATGAAAGTAGATCACAATATCCGTGATGAAAAGACACCGAAGCTATATTCATATGACAATCTCCTCCGCAAATACGAATATGTTAAGTGCTTGAATGTTGTAATGGCATCTCATTTCGCACGTGGCTATCCTGAAATAACAATTACAGTTATGCAAGAGCTCATACATCGCAAGGGTTTGCATCGGGCGTTAGCAGCACGCAGTCATGAATTTCTCTCGCGACTCATCTCGTTCATATGCCGTTTCATTGGGGAACATCGATTCATGCGAACAATGATTGATGTGGCAGCGACTTTGCTGGATGTATATGCCGGAACCTTTCATGAATTTACAGGTGAATTGGGAAAAGATTTTATAAGACTGGCAGGGGTGTTGCGGCGGGAAATAAACTTAACATACAATTTAATGGAACTCCAAGGAGGTTTGGAATTGCTCGAAACCGCTGCAGGCGGCGTAGAAAACGGTGACGAGTATCACAGATTTGTAAAAGATGATAACGATCAATTAAAACAGTCCGCCCAAGCAAAGGAGTCCTCTATTTTGACTGTATAACAGCCGGATGCAATGGAAGAATGATATGTATGTGTTGAAGTAATAAACAATTTCAAGTTATTCTTTAGTATATGTACGTGCATATATAATTGTACCAAATGTAATTTAAATAAAAAATGTAGATAGGTATTTTAAAGCTATTTGGCTTACAATTAATGTTAAAAAAGAGGGGTGTAGAACGTAGAATCAAGCAGTGCGAATTATCCGTAGTTTAAAAACATTCCCACGACAGCCGGTTCTACGTACCGGAATGACTCGGGGGGGTTTACCCGACCAAGGGCTGTTGTTTCGGCGACCTAACCCCTCTTAGATCGGCGATACCCATTAATCATTGTTCGTCCATGGAGTAACTCCTTGGAGCCGGATTGCTCCGCATCCTTCTTCTCCGGGCGGGTGTTGAACCCAAGCCCGGACCAGAAACATATTTCTGCTGTGTTTGCCAGAATCGACTCCATCCGAACTCCTCTTCGGTTAGGGGCAACTCATGCAACGGATGGAGTCACCCAATAACCTGCTCTGGTCTTAGGTCTCACCGGGAGTGGACCACAAGCTATGTGGCTCCCTGCTGCTCAAGCCAAACGGCACAATCAGCCTCCACGCTACCCGCTCGCGCAATGCACCCAACACCCGAAGAGCCTGCACGGCTCCGAGAAGCTCCTTTGGGCAGCAGCAAACCTCCCAACCCCCCTCTCCCCCACAGTCTACCGGCCCGTCCAACTCGCGCGTGCGAGCCAACCAGCAGCTCCTGGTTGCACATAGTACCTGCACCGTATGCCAGAGCAGAATATACCGGAACGTGACATCGGTCAAATGCAACTCATGCCTAGGCTGGTGTCACTTCCACCTATGCTCTGGCCTACGCACCACGCGCGAGTGGACTGCGAACTTCAGTGCCCCATGCTGTAGAGCACCGCTAACACAGACAACAGCGTCCTCATTGCAGCCACCTACCAACAGCAAGCGCGTCAGATACAACAGGCCCAAGGTAGACCTTACTCCTCCCTCACCCCCCCGTATCGCGACTAGCCTCCCAAGGCATACGAAACTCCTACAACTCAACTGCAACGGATTGCATAGTAAGATTGAGGAGATAGTAGTCTTTATGGGTCGGCATGGCATATTGATAGCTGCGGTCCAAGAAACGAAGTGGCACAACAACTCTGTTGGTTTGCGGAGCCTACAATGTGCTCCGTAAAGATCGCGAGCGAGATAATGGTGGCGGATTAGCGTTCATCCTACACCACACAGTGCAGTATCGGCTTATCGAAGAAGACATCGACCCGAGGGACACCACCTTAGAATGTCAGGGCATAGCTGTCCGGTCAGGCGATGTCGAGCTCGAAATATTTAACGTCTATATACCCCGTCACCTGCTGCCCGGCAGGTTATCACCCTGACATATGTGCGCTACTCAGAGGTGAAAACCGAATGGTAGTAGGTGACTTCAACGCGCACCACGATCTCTGGCACTCAAGCCTGGCCAATGATCGTAGGGGAAATCTTTTGGCTGAGCATATAGACGATTCGACATTCTGCACCATGAACCACGATTCCCCCACCAGGAATGTGGGTAGCTGCAGCAGCTCGCCAGACCTCACAATTGCTCTGGCTACTGCAGAAGGCTAAATTCCTACCTGTGTAGGTTAAATGCGGATGTGCCGAACGAATGTCCGACATGCGGAGAGACCCCTCACGACTCGAAACATCTCTTCGCATGCCCGGAAAACCCCCCAACCCTAAAGGCGTCGTCCCTATGGACTGACCCCATAGAGGCTGCACGCTTCTTGGGGCTGCCGTTAGTGAAACTCGACGACAACGACTGAGATATCAGCCGATCTGGGCGGGGTTGTTGTAGCCGCTACAACAACAACAACAACCTCACAATTGCTAGCGCTGGTCTGATCAATAGCATATCATGGCGACCTATGCTAACACTAGCATCAGACCATCTACCCATAATCATCTCGATGAATAAGCCCACCGACTTTACTCCCGCGGACCACCGAACCTACACCAACTTTAACAAAGCTGATCGGGACGGCTTCGCGGAAGTTACCGAGAGCAGCTTCGCTTCCCTTCCCACACCAACAAACATACATGCTGGCGAACGCCAGTTCCGCAGGATAGTCACTGCCGCAGCGGCTCGCTTCATCCCGTCCGGACGTATCGCGGAAGTCCGCCCAAATTTCCCGGCCGAAGCAGCTGTTCTAGCAAATGAGCGTGACCATCTACGCCAGATCGATCCCGGGGACCCGACGGAATCTGTATGTTGATGCTAAAACATTTGGGGCCTAAGGGTGTAGCTTACCAAACGGAGGTCCTCAACCTGTCTATGGCCACTCTCATCATTCCTGATGTGTGGAAATCAGGGAGAGTGGTCCCACTGCTGAAACCGGGGAAGCCCGTCAACAAAGGAGACCCTTATCGCCCGATAACGCTACTTTCCCCGGTCACAAAGACACTTGAGGTCCTGCTCCTCCCATACTTCACCTGCCACCTGACCCCAGCGAAGCACCAGCACGGATTCCGTAAAGTGCATAGCACAGCAACAGCACTTAATGCCATAAACACCCAAATAACTCGTGGCCTAAATCGAAACCACCCCTAGTAGCGCTGGACTGGTCAAAGGCGTTTGACACCGTCTGCCAATCCACGCTGCTAGAAGACATCGAGGCCTCCTCACTCCCACAGGGACTGAAGCGATGGTCGGCGAATTATATGAGTGGTCGACAGTCGTCAGTAATCTTCCGAGATCAAACCTCGAAACCAAGAAGAATTAAACAAGGGGTTCCACAAGGTGGTGTTCTCTCCTCCTTATTATTTAACTTCTACATCTCGAAACTTCCCCAGCCACCTAAGGGAGTTTCTCTGATCTCATACGCTGACGATTGCTCGATTTTGACGTCCGGGAATGGAATTGATGACCTCTGCTCAAAAGTAAATGACTATCTCTCCAGCCTTTCTCGCTTCTTCACTGCAAGGAGCCTAACACTCTCCCCAACGAAATCAACAGCGCACCACTTCACCACCTGGACGAAGGAGGTCAGGCTAGAATTAGGAATACACTTCGATGGCACACCAATACCGACTGTAAACAACCCGAAAATTTTAGGGGTCACCTTCGATAGCCTGCTCTCCTACTCCACGCACACAACCGCAGTTGTCAATAGAGTACAGAGCCGCAACAAGGCGCCAGTTTGGATGCAGTGGAGAAGCTACAGACTTGTCAGAACGCCGCCCTCCGGACAGCGACTGGATGCCTTCTGATGACGCCTGAGCACCACATACACAGCGAGGCCCAACTGCTCCTCGTAATGGAATACAACAAAATGCTTTGTAAGCAATTTCTGGTGGGGTATCACAGAAGCGAACACCCAAACAGACCTCTGCTTCAGGAGGAGCCTCTGCCCAGGCAGTCCAGCAATACGTAAACCAACCACTGGACCCGACAACATACAGACGAACCATTAACGACATCCATAGAGAGTCAGTCACCACCTACCTTGACTCTCGACCTATGAAGGCCGTAATAGGAGCCCAATCACCACCTGCAGAAGAGACGGAGTTTCAACTGCCAAGAGAGACCCGCGTTACCCTGGCTCAATTACGGTCTGGATACTGTAGCCGCCTCAACAGCTACCTGGAGAATCCCCTCACGACACCAACCAACTCTTCACATGCCAGCTCAATCCGACTCAGCTAGCACCCCTCTCCCTCTGGTCCGACCCCATTGAAACAGCTCGTTTCCTCCCGTTAGTTGAGCTTGACGAAAATGATTGAATGTTGACCCGCAAAAAGGCGGGGCTTAGTAGTGTCGCTACAACAACAACATCCGTAGTTTAAAAATTTAATTGTTTACTCCTGTTTTCAAAGCAGGTGATAAATGCCAAATTTCCAACTACAGACCTATTTCTAAACTCACTAACTTTGCTAAATTGTTTGAAAAAGCTGTTAGTACTAAAATGACTTTTGCAATTAAGCCGTTTATATATATTTCCCAACATGGTTTTATCCCTGGACGCTCAACTGTTACCAACCTAGCAGTATTCTCAAATTACTGCATCTCTTCTTTTGTCGATGGATGCCAGGTTGATACTATATATACCGATATATCGAAAGCGTTTGATAGAGTTTGCCATAGGTTATTATTGTGTAAGTTACGCTCTTTTGGCTTTCACTCCAAGTTTCTGGATTGGCTCAAATCCTATCTAGTCAACAGAGTCAACTTTGTTTCAGTGGATAGTGTAGCCTCATTCATATGTTGCTACTTCGGGCGTTCCCCAAGGCAGCATATTAGGTCCGTTACTTTTCTTAATTTTTATTAATGATGCCAGTGCTTGTTTCAAACAATGTAATCACCTCTTATATGCGGATGATTTGAAAATTTTCAAATATGTAAAAACTAACGTTGATATACAGACTATTCAAAATGAGTTAAATATCTTCTGTGACTGGGGTAGGCGAAATAAACTAGAATCATATTTCAGACTCCGCTAGAGAGATCGAAACTGGAGTATGCGTCTGTCATTTGGAATCCTTATTTTGATACGCACTCAAAAAGAGTGCTTTTGCTTTATACCTAATGTGACTCACTATTTCATAGATCAAATAAGTACAGCTTAGGTTGGGTTAAGTTCACACCTCCAGTCAACTACGAAATTTCATTGCGGCTTATTTCGATGCATGGGATCTTAGTGTTTGTTCAGAAGTACCAGCCAAAATGCTTCCATCTTCGCCTCATGAAGGTTGGACAGTCTAAAAGAAAGTGTGGAAATGACTCCACTTCATCTTCCTCTTGACAGCTGGTACAAAACGATCAGTTGAAATTCCTAGTCTCACCGCATGAATACCAGTCGCACAATGGCAAGTCAGAACCCCCATAACTAGCCCTTGAGAGGTAAAATGCTTTAAAGTGCCCTATAAAAACATTTGATGCAGCAGAAAAACGTCTTCTTTTCCTTTTTATGACACAAAATTACTAGGTTTCCCTTAGCCTAGTAGCATTTCGTGCTTCGACAATACTGTCTGCAATATCCGCAGGCGCTGTGTACAACATATGTTTGTTAAGCGCCAGTGTAGGTGTGGTTCCTAATGCTTCGCTAATTCCTGTTATACAGGTGTAGCCTTCATTTAGAAAATA